CATGGTGGGGGTCAGAGAAAGGAGTGGGGAAAGGTCCACTAAGGTGACAGAACCTTGAGGGAGTGGCTAAGAACACCCCTTGGACTCCTGAGTGCAGTCTGCAGCCACTCCATGGCCTGTTGTGGTTGTGGTTGGGGTCTGGTTCCTTATCTATACCATCCTGGAAGCAGAATTATGTGGTTCATGTTTTCTGTGTACTGAACAATGCATATAGCATCTGCACAGATCATCTCATTTCACTCAGAAATGGTCTACAAGAAGATAAACAGCCATTATCTCCTTGCCATCTGAAGTCCCCAGAGGGCAGCTGAGCAGTCTGTGAGGACAGAAGATGTCATTACCAGTGTCTTAACCATACTCCAAGAGCTGGGAACCATAGTAATTCAGTCTTTCCAGAGTAAAAATGACCCGATTCTCCTCAATTGGAATCTTAGCCAGAGAATCAGATAACCTCTAACCTGGGACTACTGGTCTACCATCTCCTCTGTGGGCATCAGCTTCTGTCCTACAGTTGCCATACTTTGATGGGGCAGCAGGGGGCAACCTAGACAGCGGAGAGGGCTAAGGTGCTGCTAGCAAGGCCTAGTATAGGACAGGGAGGACCACAGAGTGGAATGGGAAGGGAGTTCTGACATAGTCCATGGGAGCCACAGATGATTAGCAATGGGCAGCAGGCTCCTGGTGTTGGCTGGCTTGGCAGCATCTCAGAGCCAGGGCCTATGAAGGGCAGCAGGGTGGGGGTAGTAGATCCCAATCTGTCTCTCATAGGCCAGGAATGGGTTTCTTGAAGACTGGGCACCTTCTGTCATTCCCTCTGATTGTCAACGGTCATCTGACAGGACTGATTTTCCCCTGGAGACTTTTCTGGGGCTTGCAAAAGAGACCTTACCCCATTGATAAGCAGGTGTGGAGAGCAGTCCCCTGGGGCTGCCCAGCTCCAAGGCTCCAATCCTGCTTGGAATTAATTCCTCTCCTTTTCTCTCGGGACCTGTTCCCAGGTACTGTTGATCCTGTTGTAAATGAGAGTGTTTGGAGCCTTCATCAAGTCAGGGCTCAAAGATTATTTTCTTGTTTTAATTAGCTTTATTTGGTTTTAAAAGCCCTCTAACGTGCTCAGTGCCCTGGGGCCTCATGATCTGAACAGGTTATTCAAATCACTTTCTACTTAGCTCTGAAGTAGACAGCCCACACCAGACATCCCACATGTGACCTTGGTGTTCAGATGAAGTGCATGCCAGTGTCTAGCAGAGGTGTCGGCCTGAAACCTGAACCTTTTCCTGCATGGCTCCACCTCTGTCCCTATTGCCATGGGTAGGTGGCCCAGTTTGGGAGCCAGTAGTATTTTCCAAATTGAGCGTTGCCACTGCCTATCCTACCTGCCTGTGCTTCTGTGCCTGTCTGTGCTCAGTGCCTTGGGGCCATCTCTTCCATCTCTGAAAAGCTATACCCCAGACCACTGCAGGCATGGAGAAGCAGCTGAAGGACCACCTCCTTCCCCAGTGACTGCCTCTTGCAGGTACCACTGTCACAGAAAAATGCCCTGTAAACATGGCCGTATACACATGTTTAGCTCTGATACCTTGAACATCTTCAAGATGGGGCTTCAAGCCTACCCATGTGTCTGTCCCCCATCCCCCAGGCTCTGCTCACTCTGACCATGAGGCCTCAGCGTTGGTAGGTGACCTCCTTTTTCTGGACCACTCATGTGGCATCTGCCTACTTCATAGGAGTCTGAGGGTACCCTCCTGATGAGCCACTTCAGGCCCCTCCTACCTCCTGCCTTCTTCCTGAAGCATCTTCTGCACTGCTAGGCTGGACCAGCACTAAGACCTGCATCCGCAGCATCCTTAGCCAGTCTGCAACACTTGCAGTCTGTTCTGACTTCCATGTCAGACTAAGGGCTGGGTCTTACAGCAGAATTCAGAGTGGACAGGACACAGGCCTGCCTGCAGAGAGGGCAGTGGAGAAGGCCAGAAGTGGACGGAAACATGCTCATAGTCGAGTGGAGAGCCCAGCTACTCAAGATGGAGACCAGGAAGATCAAAAGTTCAAGGCTGAGATGGACTCCGGGAAAAAATTAAGTTGGGAGGGGTGTGTGCCGGGATAGTCTAGGAGGAGCTGAGAGAGAGGAGGGGAGCAGGCATACGCAACATGCATTGCGTGCACCTATGAAGTCCTCAAAAAGACAAATTAAAGTATTATATGCTAAAACAAGTATTTTCCTTTCCAATTTTCAAAAGCTGAGATGCAAAATTATAAAATATGGTAGTTTATCATTTAAAAAAAATTGCAAGGCTTGCTTGGGCAACTTAGTAACATACCAAGTTTAAATCTTTAAAAAGTAAAAAGGGGGCCAGATGGTGGATGGCTCGCCTGGTATGAAGAAAGTCCTAGGTCCAGGAGTAGGGAGTGTGGGCAGGGGGTGGGGGGGTGGAAACAACAGGAGAACTTATCATGAGACACTGATGGGCAACAGTCAGAGGAGACTGAGTTGTTGGGTTTGGGTCTTGAAGGGATGCATAAGAGTCCGCCTGAGGCAGGAGCAGGTCACAGTCTACAGCAAGGTTCTTTGTCCACAGTGTTTCTCAGTAATTATAAATTCGAGTGACAAGTGCTGTGAGTCCCAAGGGGGACAGCAATGACATCGGCATCCTTGCTCTTGAAGAAGTCCAACATATCAGTCCCTCCCTACTGACTGTATGCTGAACATGTCTGTGGCCACCTTTAGGGGACATTCCTGTGACAGTGGCACCTAGCAAGAGGCAGAGTCACTAAGGAAGGAGAGGGTGGTCCCACAGCTGCTTCTCCATGCCTGCAGTGGTCTGGGGGATGGCTGTGATGGTGAGGGGCCCTTTTCAGGGCTGGCTTCAAAGGGATGGAAAAGATGGCCCTGAGGCACAGTAGGCATCCGGGGTCAGTCGTCCTTCCCTATTGCATAACGGCCACCTTCTCCTTGTAGGGTATCTGAGTTGCTGGAGTCAGGGCCCTGCTTGTGGTTGAGGCCCAGCAGGGGTCCAGCAGTAGGACTTCTGGCTGGTCCTCCTGAGCAGTTCCTGGCTGCCTGGCTATACCTACACTTCCCTGCTTCAGGGCCTCAGTCCTGGTTCTTCTTCCCTCTGGCAGCTGCCCAGGGCTGGCTTCTTCCATCACTGCTGGGTGCCTAGCCCAAACCTGAACTGACAGCACAGAGCCCTCTGCAGAGGAAAGGAGGACATCTGGACTAGGGAGGGAGCTACCAAGCAGTCTGTAGACTGTCCACCTGCCACAGACTCCTGGCAGATTTGTGTATCAACACCCTCACACTGGAGAAGGGCTATGGCGCACAGACATTTACTCATGTCTTTCTCTGGGTCTGGTCAGCAGCTGGGAGCTACTGTGCTGATAAGATAGTATGTGGGTGAGGGAAGCTCTCTGTACCCTGCTTAGTATGTGGGCTCACCAACTGAGACACTGTCTGACATCTCAGAGATGCGCAGTTCAGCCTCCTGTGAGGAGGTCTTGCCCATGGCACAGGAAAGCCCAGACTCTTGCTTCCACTCAGGAGGCTGCATTCACTGTGCTCTCGGCTTGAGAATCACAGATGACAGCACAGGGCCCCTGAGCAAAGGGAAGGTGAGTCTACACGGCAGATGGACCTGGCTGGGACAGAGAGCCACACAACCACCCTGTGAGGCCCTGCTGCTCTGCTATATCTATGGGGAAACTGGGGGCCATAGATATACAGCACCTGTGCAACCAGGAGTGATGAGCAGGAGGAAGCCAGTCCAGACACGGTGGCTGTGAAGGACAGTAACCCAGGGTAGGGAATGGTTCAGAGAGAGCGCACTTCCTTACAGTGCACACGGCTCTGAATTCTGTCTGATGTGGCCAAAATCAAAAAAAGAAGAAAACCGGGAGGAAAAAGAAAAAAACCACCAATAACTCTTTCTTTAAATTTCCCTTACAAAGGGATATTTTGAGACTGTAACCCGCACATAAGTGGAAAAGTGGAACAAGAAGCTACAGATTAAACAACATGCCACGCTTGCCACCCCCGCCCCTGAGCAGCCCTGACCCTGTCACAGCAGCTAGGCTGTGGTAGCCCGCCTGGGTGACTCCTTGTGTCAGTCAGCCCCTGAATCGGAGCCACTAAGCTCAGTGGCTGTGGAGTGTAACTGCTAGTCATGATGGCGTGAACCATTCAGAGGCCAATCAGACAGAGGGCAGTTACTTTTTTGTTTTGTTTTATTTTTTTTTTCTAGGAAAGTGAACAGTATTTTTTTGTTTTAAACAAAGGTTCATTCCAAAAAAGAAACAATGGCAGTCACTATCTGAGCTGTCGTGATTTGAGCTACTTTAGGGGTGCAGAGATAGATGTAAGAGGCCAGACCAGGAAGTGTTTGGCCTTCTCTCCCCTCAGCTCCAGGTCTCTGTGGCTTGGCCTTGTGGGCAGCATTCAGAACCTCCCCTAACACTGTATCACTTTGTGGGTCACTTATTGTGACCCACCCTGGACCCCTGTGGCCTCTTCAGTGATATGGGGATAGTTGTGTATCCCAGGGGGTCCTTGCCTCTGGTTTTGTGGTTAAGCTATGTAATGTTTCTCCCTGTGAAATTTCCATGAGTCCCTATGTCCAGCTGCACCAATTATTAGTAAACCTCCCCTCCAGCCTGGCCCTGATCCTTGGTAGAATATGCCCAGGTATTATGAACTTAAAGATGCTTCTCATTCCAGCTGACAGATAGACCAGGACATGGGTGTTACACAGGGATTGAGTGGGGACCCTCTCAAAGCTGGTACTCCTTTTCAGAATCCCTGCAAGAGTGTTTGTCTGGCCCTGTCCTGCTGGTGCCAAGTAGGGTGGCCAAGAACTGTGTGGGAGGGGCAGAGGCCTCCTTTGGTCACTGGCCATGTGCCTAAGGCCTGGCAGAGGCTAGGTTCTAAGTGTCTTTGGAGATTAATTGGTTCTCTCCCTCTCTTTCTCTCCCTATGTCTGTCTCCTGCCCTACGTCCCTTCCAGGGGGGCTTTTTCTGTGGTCCGACGCTGTGTCAAGCTCTGTACCGGCCATGAGTATGCAGCCAAGATCATTAATACCAAGAAGCTGTCGGCCAGAGGTAGGATATGGCAGGGGTCTGTGTGTGGGGGTGTGGAGGTGTGGGGGTGTGGGGGTGTGGGGGTGTAGGGTGCTATCTCAGCCTTTTGGGCTGTGGTGAGGGATTAGGGATGCCAATGCCTTCAAGATGGGTCTGGATGAGTGGGCATGATGGGAGTTTACCCTCAGACAAATCACAACTTTCCATCTTTGGTTTGGGGGATTCCCATGTAGCCTCTCTGGGTCCCCATGTAGGTTCTTCTCCTTCCCAAGCCTGCAGGCTCTCTGTCCTGAAGAGACGTTCTCACACTGGTGAGGCATGGTGGGGCCGGACTAGGTGATATTTCCCTAAAAATTACTGTCATAGAAAAGCGATGGGTGACCAATGGCAGGGCTGCAGTTGGCATCCATGTTAGAGAAGTTCTGTCCCTGGCTTACCTGGGGTATCTTAACTGAGCCCTCTGATCAGGGAACACCATTGCCTGGCCCAAGGAAGCCTCTGCAGGCTTGGGGATGTAGTGGTGCTGGCTGGGCAGACCACCCAGACAGATAGAGGCAGAGCCTGCATGGGGGCAGGGCTCATCATTCCAGGCAAGGTGGTTATCAGAAGCCACTCTCTGGTGATTTCAAGGGGATGGGTCCAGATATGAGTGGAGATCATGGATCTTCACAGGGATCTGGATAGAGTTCCCAAGCCGTGTGGGGAAGACCTGGTGAGGCCTTGGGGGTGGCGAGTGGGTGGCTGCCAATGTGAGACGGCATTGCCACGTCACCCTCTCCTCCCACATCCCTCCTTCTCTTCCTCCTCCCATCCTCACACTGTGCAACCTAAGTGAGCTTCCAGACTAATATCTGAGCTAGCAGGGGGCCAAGGATCGCTAACCTCTCTCATCCTGACTAGGGGACATTTCGGGGCTGAATTAGGATGTTGGCAGGGTCTCATCCAGTGGGCACATTGAGGGTGTGAACTGCTTTGCTGACTGCAGGGTCTACAGTTTACAATCTGCCAACTCACAGGGCACATAGATGACCCCACTCGTACCACTTATCAACATATGTGTAAGCATGTTTGAGCACCTTCTGTACACCAGACCACTGGGGCTCTCATATGTGTTTCCTCTTGGAAGCATTCTGAACCTAAGATGGGGATCTTCAAGGCCCAGGATGCTTCTGTAGCAGCCTGACTTCATCCACATCTCTGAGAAGTACCTGGGGCTGGTAGGTTCCCATGTTGGACCTCTATCCCCAAAGGTCAAGCAGGGAAAATATGCAGAAACCTCGCAGGAACAGGGAACATGGTCTCTTCTGTACCCTAGAGAGGGAGCTGCATTGGGTGGGAGATGCTTGGATCCCTTCTGAAATTCTTCATGGCTAGATGTGGGTCACCTGCTGTTGATGGGCCTTCTTCTGTCCTAAACTGTGATTCAGGATCTGGGGCTGGGGGCCTGGTTCTTCTCTGACAAGACACAGAACTAGCATGGAGCTCTCCACGCTCAAAGTGAGCCCAGTGTGAGGTCAGTTCCTGTGGATCTCCCATCAATATCCCTGAAGCCTCCACACCCTCTCCTGTGAGAAAGCACAAAGGAGACGAGGTTCATGGTTCAAAGGACATTAGTTGTCCCTGTGTGGTATGAATGAGCATATGTCTGTGTTTGTCTGCATGTGTCACACTGATGGTGATGCTGTTGGGGGTAACACCCACAGATGGCTTGCTGGGTACACTGTACCAAAACTCAGGACACTGTGTGCTCCCCACCGCAGTCAGCGTTGGTTTGCACACAGGTGTGAAACATTCCTGGCATTGTAAGGCAGGTGACACATAGGCCTTGTGTATCCCAGAGGTGCCTGAGCACCTTCGATGTCAGCCTCACTTCCTGGTGTTGTCACCATCCCTAGATGTCTCCAGCTTTTGCCACATTGGTATTTTGTCCCACCTGTGTCTCTGACTGCCACAAGGGCTGCCTGGTACTCAGGGGTGTCTGGGAGACAGGTTGCTTTCCACTGTTTGGGGTGTTCTTTTGAACCAAGACTGCTCTTCTTCCAGCTCTGTGCAATCTCCTGGCCATGCTAGCGACCCGCTGAGCCCGCTGGAGCCCTGGCCGAGCCAGTTGCTCAGTAAAAGCTGTATGTGTTATGTTCCAGCAAACCATGCTGCCTTCCCTGCTAATTTATTGTACAACTTGAACAACTAGAATCCAGAATGCTTTGTGTCTCCTTTTGCCTCTCTGTCCATCCCTGAGCGGTAGTAGTAGTCACTCCACTGCCCTCCCTTGGTCCTCACAGGAGCCCTCAGAAGCCCTGCTGACCTTGACCTTGGCCCCATCCCAAGGCAAGACAGATGTAAGGCTCAAGCCCCGCTGGGCTAGTAAACCTCCGCAGCTGTCCAACCTCACAGGACGGCTCGTTGGGCACCTTCTTCAGAGCTGGAGAACCTGTGCTGCCCTCACTGCCAGTAGCCTTGCGGTGTTCTGCCAGCCCCTGTTTCAGGCCTCCTCTTCCCTGCCAGCTTTTTGTACCCCCCTTTTCACATTTAATCTTACCTGTGGGCCTATACAAGACCCTTTAATCCCAGCACTTGGGAGGCAGAGGCAGGCGGATTTCTGAGTTCAAGAGTTCGAGGCTAGCCTGGTCTACAGAGTGAGTTCCAGGACAGCCCGGGCTACACAGAGAAACCCTGTCTCGAAAAAGCCAAAAAAAAAAAAAAGACCCCAATATGCCTAGACAGACCCTCATTCATCTTACGGATTCATCTCACATGCTGGGAGGGGCTGGAGATGAGTTCCTGGAAAGTCATAAAGTCACTCCAAAAGTCCAATTAGCCAAGTATTGTGGGGTGAATAGAAGTTTGTTAGACTCAAGCAGAAGACTGTCTGGGTGCTTTCCCATAGATTTGGCAGCCTCCTTGGAATTAATCACCCCACCCCTCCATTTATATCCTCAAACTCTGAACCCCCAGTGTGGTCTGTTTTCTTTTTCTCACCCTGCCCAGGACTACCTTACCCGTCAGGTTGCTGAAATGAGTTGTGGGGTGGGGGGCATGGAAGGGAGACCTTATCACAGTCCCTGTTCCCTGCCCACAGTTCATATTTTCTGCTAGCTGGGCTGATGGTGGGTGGGGGAGCAGCAGCAAAGAGTGGGCCTTAAATTACAAGCGTCAGCAAACAGCACCCCTTACCCTCCTGCATCAGAGGGACATTCTGCTGTAGTCCGCTCTCAAGATCAAACCCGAGGTTAAACAATAACCCAGAGCAGCCTTGACTGCTGTGGGCTTTGCCTCTGTTTCCCTATGTCTACAGTCTACTCCACAAGGGATCCTGGTGACAGTTCTGGGAGGCCAGTGATGCCCAGGAGGTGGCACTGTGAATATTCCTTCTCGGCTCTGGTTGGCAGACAGAACACTGCCTCCATCTTTGCCTTCATTTCTCTGCCCTGTGTCCCTGTTACCCCAGCTGCCTTCCCTTAGGTCCCCAGGGATCCTTAAACCTCTTGTGCCCTTTGAAAGGGATGAGGGAGAGGGAGTCAGATGAGCTGTCAGCTTCAAGGTGGGTAACTAGCTTCTTTTTGAGGGGAAACCTAGCATGGATTCTCCCTACACCTCAGTTTTCCCAACTGAAATGAAGATAAAGTTGCCTCCTCAGAGGGACATGCTGGCTGCCTGGGCATAGCCAAGATTGCCACCCCCTCCCCACTGCCTCTCTGCCTGGCCAGGTTGCTCTCAGGCCTTCTTTGCACAGACACTGCTGACCTCTGCAGAATCAGACCTCTTCTCTCTGCATCTGTCCTGGATCTGCTGGCTGAGCCCTGCAGGCCCCAGGGCCACTGGCTCTGCAGGCTCCCAGCTCCCAGCCTGGAGCTGAGACTATACAGGGCCATGCTACCCGTCATGGCTTCTGTGGGGTCTCTGCCCTTCCTGGGTTCAGATTTCTTGAAGTAGGGAGAAGGGGGTGGGGACCTCAAAACACTAGGAGATTTCTAGACACCTGCCTGCCACCGTCATTTACATTTATAATTCAAGCTCAGTGAAGAGATGGGACCTTGCTTTTCCTCCGTCATCCCCAAGACTGTGGGAACACCCGCATCCAGTACACGCAGAGGGAGGCAGCTCTGCCCCTTCAAGCTGCTTCAAGGAGGAGAAAGTTGGTCTTGAATCCAGAAGAGATGAGACCTCCCAGTAAATGACAATACTCAGAGTCGCATGCCCCGTGCCAAAGGCCGCAACACTCAGATTTTAAAATTTAATACTTAATTAAATAGAGAATTGTGAGGCATTCAGTCTGTGAATGTACTGAATAATTAGAGATTATTAAACTACTCTTAACAAAAGCAGTTAAGGGAAAATTAATTGACTGAGTTAGAGAGATCGTTACGCACGCACGGGAGTCTTAGAAACATTGTTTGTTGTTACCCCCCCCACCCGACACTGTCCCACGGAACAGCTGCTCCTTTGGGGGTGGCTTTGTTGTCTCTGTGGACACCCTGTGTGGAGGTAAGCTGTAGCTACGGGAGCCTGAGCAGAGGTCACGCCTGGTTAGGGACTGTACATGGAGGACAGTGTGAACGGAGCGCCTGCTCCTCCGTTCTGCTGTGGGAATTTGAGTGTATCCTCATCATGGTCCCCATTGTTGCTGAGAGACTCTCTCCCACACCCTTAAGACAACTCAGACTTACCAGGTACAGAGGAGGTGGCGGTCTTACAGAAGCTGAGCGATCTCAGACCCACAGCTGGCGGGTAGAAGAAGCCAGCTGGGTCAGGCAGTGGGCTCACAGTGGGGATCAGCTGTCCCAGGTCGGGGCTCATGTCACTGACAGGCCTGCCCTCATATGTGGGCTGCTCTCACAGATGAGGTGCCAAGCTCAGCGAGCTCCTTTCACCCTCAGGCCTGTGCCCAGCTTGCCCCAGCTGCATGCCTGGCACCTGGCCTCCCAAAGGCTCACAGGGGTGTCTTCTGCATTAGGAGACACACTCTGCCTGAAGCTGACAGGGAGAACTTGTCCTGACATCTCAGGGTCCTGGGGTGCAGC